GGTGCCGATGGTAAATGGCACCTCACTACAGGAATAATTTCTGCCTTTACAGAATTTGTTTCTGACCACAATATTTAATGGTTCTTTCTTAGCCGTCATTGGGGCATTGTGTATCGATGATTTATGTCTGCTTTTTTGCTTTATCTGCCAGCACAATATCCGGATGATGAGGCAATACTTCTTTATCCATTCCTGTTGAAAAGTCAGAGTACTTTCCCTGTATCTGTCAGCTGATTTATAACTAATTAATTTTCTCGTCTCATTCACTGATAAAATGTCTAGCAAAGTCTAGCATTTGATTGTAGCTTTAAAGTTGCCATCAGAAGTTATGTAATTTTTAATATTGCACTCATAACTGCTTTTGGTCGAACTTAATTTTTATCTTGTATGAAGATTATCGGTTATTCAAACATGTTGATATATTTGCATTTAGGTCATCACAACTCCCTACTCTGACCCAAAAGATGGCAAGCTACCTGAGCCGCCACTAGCCGCCATTCCACCGGTTGCTCCTGCAGCTCAACATTCGCTGGTGTTCTAAATCTGTTGTGAAAAACGCCGCTATATTTGAAATAAATGTGAAAATTTATCTGTTGTTGAAGTTTATTAGCGTGTTAACCAGTTGCCGAGGCCATTATTGTATTTTCTAGTTATTTTTTGTTTTGATATGTATTTTGCACTTTTCGCACAAAAGGCAGTTAGCAAAAGTGATAAATTCGGATTAATTTAATATAGGAACGCGACGAATTTACATCCCTCAAAGAAGCATCGCAAAGTAGTCATGATATCTGAAACTCGTTTGCCATTTCAATGGTTATAGACAACGAAATAGACGGGTCGTAGTCTTTACTAAAACTGTCAACATAATACAGTGACGCTAGATTGGTTATCTTCAGGGCAAATAATGTACTGACCTAAGGACCTTACTTGATCTGAGCATCGAAATTTCGTTTCGTAAATACGAATTTTACCTAACGCGACTCATTTTCTCTTATCGACACAGCTATATTTCCCTTATCATTTGCCAGTTTAAGATAATAAATGAATTCGTTATGTGGGCGGAAGGCAAACTGTCATAACTTTCAACGGTCTAAATGGCCAATGAGCTTCATTAAATTAAAATCTAAGGTTTCAGATCGAGCTCAATCCACCTCCAGACGACATATATGGCAAGGACAATGACACGAACGATTGTACTTAATCATATATGTCCCCTCAAGATGCATCCAGATATATTTTAAATTTCGGAATTTAGTTTATAAAATTTCGAAAGCGGTGTAAACGTTTTAGAGGTTATGACGATCAGGAAATTGTTTATCCAATTTTTTAAAGCCTAAAGCTAATTTTTGAGTTCTGACGTTAAACTGGTATCGCTGCTTTGTTGATAATCTCTAGATGAAGCATGAATCCTCGAAGTCAAAATTTCTTGATATACTGCACTATCCCGTTAGTCTTAGTTGCCTGGAGACATTTAAGCAGGTCAAGGGTCCATAGTATTTGACAATCTACAGAGCAGAAGCAGTTTGCATAATTTTTTCCGCAACAGCGATTTTACGATACGGTTTGTTATAAAGGAGGTTCCAGGAGATGGTTCTAATTATATGCAGCAACCGCACGTACATAGAAACATCCTCGTACGGAGTACAACATCTGCAAGACAATCGTTGCAATATAGCTTCGAACGATGGCTCGAGAATGATTCGAAATGCCTGACAGATTTTCGTATTTTGACTATGCGGAATAAAACCTGTTTGTGATTACACAAATGGAAGATAAGACCAATTAACTGAAGATTTAAGTTAATAAACTACTACTTTATTTAGTTTATCAGTAGTATAATGAAAATACATGATTCCCTTCACTTGGTCACGTACCTCACAGATCACAGGTTATGACACAGATGATGGCGAAAACTGACAATGACCAGTAATTAATACAATATATGGAAAGGAAATATAATGTTATACTGCATATTAAAAAGGAATATGCGAAAATGAATATGCCACATGAACAGACTCGTATAGGACATTACTAGCACCGAGTTTCATAAAGTCCGGAGCGGCCGATGTACCGCACCCATTTGATGACGTCTTGGTCACTGTAATTCAGTTTTGCTTCGAAAACCTTCAGGTAACGAACTTTCAGGCCGGAAGGAGCAAAAGGAACCTAAAATAGTACCGATAATTAATCAGTGAAACTGGTTGCACGAACAGCAACAGTAAAATAATTTCCTGTCTCTCAACTTAATACTTCAATTCATATCCATGAATTAATTCAAATGTAAGAACTAATCATTCAACCGTCTTTCAAGCTCGATGTCTGGTCACTATGTACGCTAAAAAATTTCGCCGATTCGTCTAAAGTGGAAAGTCTTGATGGTGTTAGGGCAACGGCGCTGAATTTCATCTGGGCAGAAAAATCTGCGATTACGCGGAAGGCGTAATAAACGCGCAACATTGAGTGAAACCGATGGGGCAAGGACTTAGTCCTCGTTATGTCACGCCTAAATGCGACGGAAATTGTAAATGTAACAAGAATGCGAAAGAACTTAATCTTTGCATTAAATATGTTAAAGCAAGATGAAAAACAGCAAAATTAGCAAACTAAACTGTCTGATCTACAACAGCTATTCACGCACAGTATAATGATAACATTCGCTACTGAGCCTGAAAAAATTCAGAACGTCTTCGCATTTCTCCGGCTTGGATCATGCAATCGGCTATTCTGTGATGTCACGAATTCAACTTCTATATTCTACGAACATCTAACTACCTATATTCAATCAGATCCCAGAATTAGCATCTGCTGTTCAGAGGAAAGGTACTATGATCGCAAAAAAACCAACTACCCTTTTTTTGGCGATAAAATAGACGACCCGGGATGTTGTCCTCCACGGTTAAAGACAGCAACGTTTTCCTTTACTTGAAAGAAATGGATTGTAAAACTGAACAACGGTTAAATATTGCTTCGATTAACTATATTATGACCATAAGCTTGTTGGCCAGCTATTACAGAATTCAAGACAAATATTCACGACCATTATAGCTACTGCAGTTACTGTCTGCATTACCCCAGGGCAACAAAGTGTGAAGAAAAGATTTGCCTAGATTCGTAATATTTGATATGAATGGAATGATGCTTCAGATTCATATAAGATATTATTCATTACTGCAAAAAAGATTATATGCATTCAAGTAATGAGGGCATGGAAACCGAAGCTGGACCGGTGAAAGATAATGGTCGTACCTACGAACAAAGTGGAATTCCTACCAACAGTAAGAAGATCAAGACACAGAATGATGAAAGCTTGATGTGTCTGACTGTGTGAAGCGATCGTAATGCGACAGCTTCGTCTATCAGTCCTTGGTATTTTGCTACCATTAGGTACCGTATTAATTGCTGCTATTATATGGAACTAAAACAGTACTATATAGCTTACTACTTTACTGCCTCGTTACTGTTGTTGACGAATACATAGTCTTCTCCAAGCAACACTTAGGCCAATAAACTTCAGATTTAATGACCTTTCTATAAAGCGCATCGTACAGTTGTATCTCTTGGTATAACTAGAAAAGAAGTGGGAATACTCCAAAGTTACCTAGTCCATCCATTCATTTTCAGAACCTCCTATATTTATGGGTTATAATTGTCATGGCACATCACTAGTCTGGCACAATCAATGTATCAGATCCTAAGGAATGCAGGAAAGTTCACGAAAATGTAGGAAAATTGCAATTCACAGACGAAAAATTCACCGACCGGAAAATTCACTGAACCGCAATTCATCGAAAAGAATATTCACCGATTCTACAAATCATGGCCGATAATTTATTTATTAAAATCGATTAAACGTGGAAAACTTTTTTAAGCACAATTTATTTCATATAAAGCATTGTCAGTATTTCTAAAAATTTGAGATGTGCTGATTTTGAATTAATTTGCCTGAAAATGATGATGTTGGTACCTGTAAATTTCGAATCAAACAGATTTCATTGAAGTCATTTAATTTAAACAAGCTTCTGAGATATTATTTACACGCATACAAATATGTAGTTACTGAAACACCTAATTAGTAATTTATTTTATGTCATAACTCTCAAAAATAGTAAAACAACTCTGAAAAGTCCTTCAGAGCAATCGCTATTTCATACGGGGCTGCAAGGCTACATTGCTGGCCACTCACATACTGTTCTATATTCAATGTTCTGGAGCTCTGATCACACTGAATCGTTTCAATAAACTTCCAGATACTATGGTGATGTGCAGATATTGCATTCCAAACCCACCATGCCACCCTTCAACTGAATTGTTTGTCTTCGGAAAACGGTGTCTTACTCCTTCGTGACACTTCCACATTTCAAGGGAGAAACGGGGGGGGGCATTCGGCATCCCATGCGTCATTGAGGACGTTCAATCCAGCAGTCCTCAAAGTAATCAATCACGCCTTGTGCTTCCTCCGGCATGTTATCACCGCTACCGCTAAGAACCTCAAATGGTTCTACCACATCTTCTGTTGGAAAAAACGCCAACTCAGACAACAATCGTATTTTGATTGCAAATTCAACATCAGTTTCTTGAACATCTTCTACCTGAATCCTTCGGAATATACACTGCAAGAAATGGAAGAAACATCTTCGATGTCTAGCCACTGGAAATTCTAGACGAATAGCACTGACTGTGGCAGGTTCCAAATCGACCATAACTGTTTCCGGGAAGGCATCAAGTTGAACCTGTTTTACTTGTTGCAATGACCCAACATATGTGGCCACTGTCTTGCCTGATAGCAGAGCATAAAAAAGCTGAATTTGAAGTCTTCACCTGAATACCATGGAGTGTGTAGAGTTAATAAAACAAATGAGGCACCGTTTTAAAAGTTCCGTCCCGAAACCAATGTTTAGACGAGGCCGATAACCAGAGTTTTCTTGCGGTGGAAAGTAACTATTCCATCTTCCGGTGGTCCTCAATCAAACAGCAAGAACGGTTCGCTTTCTTTAGTTCTCATGTACTCCTCGAGAAATGCAATTTCCTCTGGGTTATAGGCAAAGCTGGTGCTGCTTGTTTTCTTATTCGGATGTTTCGAGTCATTCTTTTGATACTGTCGGTCGTCGCAACATTTCCTGCAGCAGACTGGCTAAGTCCCACAGACGCATTAAATTCAATATATTGGGGTACTTCTCGACAATTTTTGGCACAATCATGTGCAACATCTTCCGTCTTCAAAGCTTCTACATGAGCTGCATCCCCAATATAGCTGTGAACTCCCTTCACGATCTCAGTGGCATCTCCGCTGTTATTACACAAACCGGCACTTGTGCTTCTGATACATTCATTTCACACTTCCAGTATGTCCTGTCAGCTTGTTTTTCTTTGAAAAATACGTGATGGTCCATTAAAAATCTGTTTTCCCTTTTCACTCGTGACGAAGTGAAAGGCCATAATGATTAATGAAAATTCATAAAACTAAAGTATCACACTCAAAGAACCTTTTGAAACTGACCTCTTTGAAATTTCTGAGGATTTATATAGGGGTGAAGCATGGTAGTTATTCTGCTCATTAACATAATCTTTCAAATATACTATTTCTCAACAAATGCATTAGATAAAATCAGTTGTTGTGTGAGTAGGTAATATTATGGTAATTATTGTGCACACCTTTATGCTGTTTGAAAACTGTGCTATGCTGAAAACTATGCTGTTTGAAAATAAGTTTTAATTTTCCGTAGACACCTATATTTTACATCGTAATAATAAATTTTAATAAATAAATCACTGACGATCAATTGTAGAGTCGGTGAATTTTACTTTCGACGAACTTAGGGTTGGTGAATTTTTCAGTCGGTTTGATGAACTTTCCGGATATGAATTCTATGGTATTACAACGAAGGAACTGAACATAACTGAGTTTCGATATACGGCTACAATCGAGTTCAGGACTTGTTCCTGTGGCCTATCAAGGGATTGCGCCTAGCGAGTCACTTCAGTGCCATCGACATCATCTCATGCCGAAAACATTACAATCTCTGAACGTTGAGAAAGAGTGGCTAAGGCTTACAACTGAACCTATCTCGACCTGTCATATTCAAGATATGTCGAGTCTCCTCACGCTAGCAATGCTTCGAAGATTCCACTTGTATTCCAAATATCGCTGTCGGTCAATATCCAGCATTCATAATCATATGAGCGGACCTGAACACAGCTTCCTTATCACCATACAGATAGCTTGGCTGAACCTTATGTCCATCGAGTAGTTCGAGCAGCTGTTACACATGATAAAAATGAAGAACGTGCACTCACTTAACCTAACCGCTAAGAAAGTGTCGGGAATGGCCATAAAACAGAGAGTACCATTTCGCTGTCAATGGTGCGAGTCAGCTATTTGAATAAGTACTCACTACACTTTCAAAGTTACCTCGAAATTCATGGAAATCGGGGGCCGGTTCCACTTTTTCTTGTCACTTGTTGGCAACAGATCGATTTCAGCACTGATTTGAGATTCTTTCATGCCCGCGATTCGCTTCATCCTAAAAACTACATGCGCATATTTTTCAATCCACGATTTGATCAGTGAATATCACGCACTTCCAGACGATAGCATTTTCGCTGGCCTTGTATTTGGCTTTGCCCTTCATGCAAATCAGTTGAACGCCGGCTGTATTCAACGGAGTGGGAATGCGTACCTAAGCTTTTGGTCAGAATTATGCAAATTATGAGAACACAGTGAAAACATATACCTCAATTTTCTGAGCCAAAAGTACAGGCTTAAAGTTCGATTTCACAACCACTTTTACCTCCATTTTAGTTCTTCCAACCTCGCGAACCAGCGGAATGACTCGAAATGGCAACTGAATGTCCTTTGTGGTTCGATATCTAATGAAGTAACAATATATCGAACTGTAAAATAGGTACTTAACATAAATCTAATGATAAAATTAATTGAATCAACAGGTTTCATTTCTTCTTAAACCCCACCGTCGCTGTGGCAGAGAGTAAGTGACGGCCAAAATACCGGATAGCATGACAGAGCGCAAACCAGTCACAAATCCTGGAATGATAAGTGTGGTATAACCTGTTATGCTATATCAAATCACAACATGCTGCAGCACTGCCTGACAAAGTATAACGCATTAAGGTCTGACAGATCGCACCACATCAAATCGCATCACGTAATACTCTGTCGGACAATGCTGAACAGTGATATGGTTTGCTAAAGAATAACATATTACAGTCTGCTACATACAGCATTAAAATACGTTCACCTATAATAAGCTAATACCTGCCAGGTAATAGAGCACCTTTTTATGGCATAGCATAGCACCATATAGCATTGTTTAACAATTTCTAGTACATCACGAGTGGTTAGAGTATAACAAACTGGCACATTATAACAAGTACTGTCTGCGATAAAATATTCTATCATAGCATGTTAACTATTGCAGTGTGTTGACTCAAACACTATATAACACGTCATGGTCTTGTATAGTATTCTA